AATTTCTGCCATTCCTAATTAGAGCGAACGAATTCGAGCCGTGTAACTCGTTGAAATATTGAAACTTATAACTGCGAACTCTGAAAGAAGCAACTTCTGTCTTTGACCGGCGAAGGAGTTTTGAGTCATAGTATGAATACAGCTTCGGCTGTACGCGCTTGAATACGTAACATTTCTTCCGCGTTCATTGAATTATTGCAATAACGCCAATTAAAGGGTTAATGAGAAAAAGGAATACAATAAAGTCTCCGTTATATGAACGCCCATTACGTGAGCATCTGTTATTTAAAACTTCAGTCATATTTCTTATTATGATATTATATGAGCTGTTTATTTTGGAACTGGCCTAAGCCCATTTATTTAAAAATTGAAATATTTCCGAGTTTGCGTTTTAATAAATTTAAAAATATTGGTAACTAATAACACGGTAACATAATGTTTTTGTATTTCTAAGGGTGTATAGTTTACTAGAGTTAGCATAATGAATATTCTTTAAATAATATTTCCTTTATAACTATAAATGGGCTTAAGCCACTTTCGAAATTAATGAAAAACTGTTTTTAATTCGTAAAAAGGAATAATTCCCTTGAAATAAAAAGGAATGTATACGATTTTATGTTACAAAATTAAAAAATATTCAACTCATATTTACTCTTAAAGAAATGTTAAGTTAAAATTAATAGTATTTGACAATTAATTATTCATTGTTCTTCAATTTGCGTGACGCGGGAGGGATTTAAAATAATTATTGTCTGCCGGTGATACATAATGTAATAAATCCGTTAAATTGATGTATTTTAGTATTGTAATTGGTCTTGTTTTTTCGTACACTGGTGTCAACTCAATATTATTACAATTTTTTGATCCGACGCAGCAGTAAGCCCAGAGTTTAGTGAAAAGTGCATCCTCATTCATTAATGTTTTATAGAACATAATGTATATTTTAGTTCTCAAAAACCTCAGTTTACTCTTTCTCCGTTAGTTAAAAACGAAATAAAAATCATTATCTGAGCAAATCGAACATTACTACTTTACTAATAAAACGTAAAGCTCTTCTCTCATAAAATTTTACCGTATAATATATTCCATATACGTTTGAAACCCTAAAAATAGGTCTTAAGCCAAGTTCAAAATAAGAATTTGTTTCATTGTATTAACTAGCTAATTTTCTTTTTACCAAGTCTTGCTGATTTTAATTACATTAGTTACAATTTCCTTCAAAATGAAAAATTATGTAGGAATGTCGATATTGAAATAGCTAGCTTGATTTTTTTGGAAAATGAACATAGACCACTTTTAAAATAAGTTGTTCATATGTAAATATACTAATTGAAAGTTCTTATGTATGTATACTTGCTTCTGTACGATAAAAAATACATTAATTATCCAATGTGAAATATCCGTAATAAACATATATTTGGAGTATTATATGTTGATGTCACTGAAACGGAAACGCGCAATTTTAACAATTAAAATAGAAATGATATACATGAAAAAGTTCTATCGACAGTATAATTAACAATCACATTTCGATCAGCTTTTAAAAAGATCTGATTACATTTTTAGAGACTGAGGGCACCTAAGGAAGAGGTCATTACCAATTTTATTTTTACTCTTAAACTTCGTCTGATGAGTAGATGATGTGTTTAGATATAACAATTAATGTTATTAATGCTCTTTCGAGAGGCACAACATCAAATAGACACATAATAAAATGACTGTACAATGCAACTATTAACAGTCGTTCATTTATGAGCCAGTATGTACTCTCAAGGACGGTATTTTAAACTTTATACATGTATCTGTAAAATTTAGTTCTCAAAATGCTATTAAACTCTTAAAAGTTGAGGTCAATGCAAAAAGCAATTTTTCTTTTTCTAAATTAGACTCCTTAGAGTCTTTTTCTAAATTAGATCCTACTATGAATAGGCAGTGCTTAATCTGTGTCCATGTGTACGGTGGTGTAATTTTTTTTTTTCATCTTTCAAACTAGAATGAAGTGAAGTGAAATTAATTTCACTGACGTGATGGCGCCTGAACTCCTTCATCAGGAAAGTCAAGCTATTGGACACGGGGACGTGTTCTGTTCGAATCGTTTCGCGGCACGTCGAATTTTACGTCGAAAGAGCAGGACGTAGCGATGAAAAAGTGAATTAGACCGATCGGTTGAAAGGAAGGAGCAAAGGAAGGTAATAAACGATTTACGCGAGCATGCCGACGAATTCGAATATTCTCGCTATTAAATCACGCTTAATTTTCTCTTCGGCGCGATAACTCGCCTGGTCTCCTGTGATTGAGCAATTCTATCTGCCTTTCTCCATTACCCTTTTTTTTATTTTTAATTTAGTCACCATTCATTCAAGATTGCCATCACATGAAGTAATCTATCCTTTGAATGACTAATTTGGAAAAATTTGTTGCATTGGCATAGAAAGTTTTTAACAGTTTGTACCAGCCTATTAATACCTTGAATCATCTCTCACTTTTGGAATCGAGAAACTTGATGATTTGAAGAATTTATGAATAATGTTAGTTGTATCTTAGCGATTTTCTACTGTGATTATTACTCTTTAGTAATTAGTGTGCTTCAATTCACGTTATCGCCGTAGAAATTATTTACACATCACTAATACGTCTTTTTAAGAATTATTTAAAAAGTTGTTGAATGCAAAGGAACGGGTGAAAAAAGTACAGTAGCTAAGAGTAAGGAAGGGGAAAGTAATACTATTAGTGTTCCTAACGCTTTTGTAAGGCACGAGTCGGAGACGGCAGACTTCGGCAGGTGAGCGTTCGACCTCAGCGATTGTCGTTGAGTAGACTGGCGGGCACTGGGTTCGTTGTTATCTCTCCTCGGTCGATTATGACCGTTAAAAGCGAGGAGCCTTTCGTGGAGTTAGGGACTAATCGTGTTCCTAGGCTCGAGCGTTGTTGCCGCTGAGCGCGTTACCTGGGAAGGGTGGCCACTCTACAGCAGTGGCTCGCCTGTCGCGCTCGCGGCTCGGCCAGATTAGCATGGGAAACATTAATTAGGTCGCGTTTCGTACGTTCTAAGAAACTAGTCAATGGCGACGCGTCGTAGATACATGTATATATTAGATATAAGTAGTTTCCCGGAATTTGGAATCGTTGTTCTTGGCGTATAGTTTTCTCAGCGTGAGAAAAATACGTTGAGTTTTTCCTGCGCCACAGGATTGCCTGGGTGAATGCGAGAACAACGAACACGACATTTGGAAACAATAAATTATTGTAAGACTGAACGGCGCGACGAACCCTTGAAGTGCTTGGACGCACAGGAACAGTGTGTTGACTAGGGCTCGACCAGTCCAAGTGTTTGGAGCCAATTTATTGTCCTTTCTTGGGAGAAAGCGATTTTGGGCTCGTGTTCGAAGCGTGAGAAAAAACAGATGGCTGTGGACAGCACTGGTTAGAGAAACGCGTATTTGTTAGTACTCAAGTTTGTCAACGGATACGGCTGCGTAGCGAGCGTTGGATTGTGGGAAAACTGTTAGGACAAGTTTGGACTCGATAGCTGTCGAGTTTATCGCAGTCAATTTATTACCTCCTCCTAGAAAGAAAATAGCATCGGCTTGGGTTCGAGGACAGAGTATAATCACATGGCTGCTGACAGCGTTGGCGCCGCGGTCGGACGAGGCCTGGGGGGTCCAGTTCGGGCCGCAGACCGCGCGATGTTTAGGGCCTAATTGTAAGTCAGGCATGGGCAAAAGTGTCGCTTGCGCGACACTCGACCTTAGGTGGGGACGCGTGATATATATATAACATACAGGCGCGTAACTACATTTGACTAATATAAGGTACCCTTGCTCCCAAGTCCTTATTTTATTATGTAATTTTTACTGAACTTCTTATGCTGTTATTTTTATTTCTTTATTTATTTATATATTTTATACAATAATCATGAGGAATTAAATGAACGTAATGAGTTCAGGGTGGGCAATAACTACGTCCACCTTGAATATTGCCCTTATTTCTAATAATATGACAAAATGACATACATGAAACTTGCACGGTGCAAAGGGGGGAATATTGTGACTCACATTTTTTGCCTGGGTGGATTTGAATCCGGCTATTTTTTTAGATGAAGTACTGTTTTTTTATCGCGATATGATAGCCGGTGTTGAGACAACGGCTGGCCTCCCCCTATCTATCCTAAGGCTATTTCGAATTTCAGTTTTTTGGGAGATAGGTGGGGATTGTTATTTCCTTTTTTGTGTATTAACGTAGCAGTGGGGTTACTCCTCAACCAACCCGAGCCCGAGTATGACCCGATTGGTCATGTTCTTAACTTAGTCCGCCTCTTATAACTCCGAAGGTTGAGGTCAGTACGGGGTGACAGTTAACCCGGTGTAAAGTTGGGACTTTTTAAGGGTTGTTAGTTTTATGACATGATTAGGAGTAGACCCCTTCGCGGCACGCAATGGGACAGTAAACGACGTTGTCTTTGAAATCCAAAATATGGGAGTTGCGTGCCGTGACTCTGTCGACAATGTATTTGGCAACTGTTTTATTGGCCTTTCTTCGTGAAACTGGTTGCTTGTCCTTCGGACTGTAACGGTTTTTTAGGAAAAATGATTTACTGTTGAAGGACAATGGCTTTTTCTGCGAGTCCCGCAGAACATGAGGTAATAGGCACGTTTTAGCAATCACAAGTCTATTCCTACTCGGAGGGTTACCCCTAAACCGGTAAAAAACTAAATTGCGGAGGAAGTGGACCCAAGGATTGTAAAATCCTTTGCTGATGAATGTCATAAAACCCAGCAATTTTGCCTACCTACCAGGCACAAAAATTTTCGGATAGGTAAGTAACATAAATAAAGTTAGGAAAAAGTCAACTCCCACGATTCCCAAATGCTGCTAAAGATGCGCACAGAAAATCGTAGAAGTGGGGATTTTGTACAAGAACTTTTTCCTCATTTTCCTTGCGAGTTAATTCCCTGGAATTACTCGTCGAGAAAGGTTCGAAGTGAAAAAGTGAAGTGAAAATGGCAAATTTTGTTGGAGATTCTGCAAGTGCTACCAGTGCTACGTCCTCCACGAAGGCCGCACAGCGCGTGAAGAAACGAAATTTTAACCCGATGTGGAAAGAAGAGTACTTCTTCGAAGAAAGCGGGCAAAATGCAAGGTGCATTATTTGCAAAAAAGAATTGTTAGATTTGAAAAAAACAAATATTAAGAGACATTTTGACAACATGCACGGGCAACAATATGGACAGCTGACTTCTGACGAACGACAGCAGAAACTGAAGGAACTTCAAGGAGAATATCCGTCAACACCTAATGTAAGTTACTTATACTATTTTGTCATTCTATTTTGTTAATCGGTAGAATGTACTAAACATTTGTATCGTTTGCAATCACGAAGAAAGTACACTCCTTAAAGATCGTACTCGTATATTCAAGTACAACTATGTACATTACTAGAAAATCTTGTCTCCTTCTTTACAGGAAACAGCAATAAGATATAGTTATCTAATTGCGCTAGAAATAGCAAAAAGCGGGCACTGTTTCCCGGACGGGAAATTCGTAAAAAAAGTTTTTAATATTGTTTCGAACGGGATGCGTTCGAAAGAAGCAGATTTATTGAAGAATATAAGCCTCTCAAGACGCACAATTGCCCGTCGCATACAAGAAATGGGACAGAATCTTCACCAAGAGATAGTGAAGAAAAGCAATAATTTAATTAAGTTTTCCATCTGTTTGGATGAGTCTACTGATGTAAAGGGTACATCACAGTTGGCGATTTTCATTCGTGGTGTCAACGAAGACTTAGAGATCACGGAGGAATTATTAGATTTCTGCTCCATGCATGGAACAACAACAGGAGAAGACATCTTCTCATGCGTCGAGGCTACAATAGATATTAATGGACTCGATTGGTCCAAGTTAATATCAGTAACAACGGACGGTGCACCGGCAATGGTGGGCAAGTACATCGGAGTACTTGCCTATGTAAAACGGAAAATGGCAAATTTGCACATTACGAATGATGTCACAACTATTCATTGTGGCATCCATCAAGAAAATTTGTGCGCAAAAAAGATGAATACGGACATGTTAAGAGTATAGAGCTTTATCGATTGGAGGCGTTGCCATCTATCGATGATTGAGAAGCGGTAGAAGGGATCGAGGGCCTAATGCGCATGCTTTAAGGGCTCTCCCCTTCTTGACGATTTTGTCCGTTGGCCGTTACACTCACTTTCGAGTTGTACTCCCTATATAGAGTATCGACACGGTTTCCTTTAGAGTTTGAGTAATATTAAGAGTTGTTGATTGGAGATTTATATTGAGTATTATAAAGAGATTATAAAGAGAGTTCATATACAGTCGGG